GTGGACACCATGGCACCTGCCACGTATGGCTGAAAATGCAAACCCACCCGAGAAAAGCAACAGACTGTATTTTTCACGGCTACCAAGGAGTAAATGACTGATACCACAGTCTCTTTTCGTAAGGTTTGGATAAGGGTCATGGAAGTGGATTTGAGGTTGAGAGGAACAGGGACCAGGGTCGGGGAAGAGGAGAAGAGATCGTGAGGAAGGACAAGGAAGGGGAATCTGGATGGCTGGGGGCTTCTTGCTCGTGCAGTTCTGCTAGCAGGGAAGCCCCCATCCCCTGCCCAAGGATTGGTGACGACCCAGAGTTTCAGCTTGCCCGGAGAGAGACCCTGGGCGGGAGAAGATCTCTCTGTTCCTGCTCTACCACTTGGTAAGCGGGGACTAGTGACGGCCACCTAATCTGGGGGCTTCAGTCTTTAGGGGAAAAAAGGGGAAAATACACATCGATGGCCGCTGCGAGGGATGCACCGATAAAAAGGAGCACTTCAGTAATTGGAAGTGAGATCTGAATTATCATGAGAATCGCGGTGCTCAGGGGTGGGAGGGGTGATTCAACGCACTCCCTTTACAGATGAGGCAAAGGGTTCAGGGAGCAGAAGTGACTTGCCCGAGGTCCCCAGCTTGTCAGTGGCAAAATCAAAACTAGGCACAAGGCCTCTCTGACTTGTGGTTCAGTGCTCATTCAGAACACCCAGCTTCTGTAGTCTTTGTGGGCTGCCTGCCTTCAAAGCAGCCCCAGGGCCCGGCAGACTTGGGGTTTTGGAAGCTCCTGTACTATGCAGAGTTCTGGTGCTGGTGCTCCTGCCAGCCGGAAGGCTGGCCAGCCAGAGAGGCCTCGAAGACATTTGCATTTGGGTGAAAGGGGCCGATGGTCTTGGACTCACAGCTGAAGGTTTTCTGGGGTGGAAATTAAAGTGGCAGCAGGAAGCAGAATGCGACCTAATTAGCAGTTTGGTCTCCGAGGCTGACCTCCTTTCGGGAAAGCTGGCACTCGTAGGAGCATAAAGCAGCTGTCGCCTCTTCCCTGCCTGGCCAGGTGGGCTCAGAGCAGTGCCAGCCCAGCCGTCACCCCACGCCAGATGCCCTCCTGGAAAGAAGTCTCACCTCGCCCCCTAGAGCTCTCCATCCTATGGCTCCAAGGGGCTATGAAAACAAGCCACACTCCCAGCACGAAACCCCTTTAAAAGGCGGGAAGGAAGAGAGGGAACAAAAGCCTTTCATATCTCTGGGGGCAGGGGGGAGGCTGG